CCAGCTGGTGGCTCCTAGAACCAGGCCTGGTGGGTGTCCTTCCAGCAGCAGCAGAAGCCCATGGTGTCAGCTGGAGACCCTGTGGGTCGCTGGTGGGCACATGTGTTGCCCGGGAGTGCCGCTGAGGCAGGAGGGCAGTGTCTTCCTCCCGGCCCTGCTCCCGAGCAGCTGCGAACTGAAAACGGAAAAACCCGCAGCCCCAGTGGACTGTCCCGGTCGCAACCCTGCAGGAGCGGAGCTGAGGACATGGGGGTTCCGAAGAAGGGACATGCTACCCCAGCCCTCAGCAGCTAACTTTTCCCTTGGGTTCTTAGGGGGTTTTGGGTGGGCTTCAGAGAGCTAAGACCCGCCCCCGCCCCCACCGAATCAGTCTAGCTTGGAGCAAGAAATGAGTGTCCCATGCATGGTCACTTGGAGGAGGGGCCTCATGCAAGGTGGGCGGGCGTGGACCAGAGGATGGATTTGGGCAGCTCCTGGAGGCAGAAGCAGGGCACCAGGGTGGTGCAGCCCCTAAGGCACAGTATCTGTGTGGGGCATCAGCTCAGGGCCCACAGGTTAGTGGGTCGTGGGGAGGGAGTAGCACGGGCACAGGAGAGTCCTTGAGATCCTGCCTGCTACCTCCTAGTCTGGGTGACCTTCACCGCTGGTTAAGATGCTGCCAGTCCCCAGCCCTCTCACACTGGGAACCTTTATCACCCTCAACCCCTGGCTTTGCTCACAGGTGACCCTCCGACTGGACACCCACCCTGCCATGGTCACCGTGCTGGAGATGGGGGCTGCCCGCCACTTCCTGCGCATGCAGCAGCTGGCCAAGACCCAGGAGGAGCGTGCACAGCTCCTGCAGCCCACGCTGGAGATCAACCCCAGGTGAGGCCACACTCTGCGGGATCCCCCAGAATCCTGTGTGTGGTGTTCTTCTGTTGTGGAATGTGACACAGAAGAGAAGTGCGTGAGGCCTGTGGACATGTGGGTAACTCTGAGGAGCTGTATTCAGTTTAGGCTGCACCCATGTGAAACGGAACCTGGCCGGCCAGCTGCATCCCAACTTGTGACCATGTCCTTGTTTTGGTCTATGGCTTTGCCACCTGTGCATGTCCTGAACATGCTCAGTTTTGCCTGTTTTGAGCTTTGTACGTGGATCTTGGTGGATCTTGGTGTTTGCTGAAGTCTCACATTGCTCACTTGGCATGAGGGTTGCCTACGCAGAGGGGCTGCCACAAGTTCATTTTCGTAGCCGAATAGTATCCGCTGCAGAAACCCATCTCGGTGCAGCAGACTCCTCCGTTCTGCTCTGCTGGGCCTCGGGTGGTTCTTGGTCAGAAGCGGTGGAGAACCAGGCTGCTCTGAATATTCTTGTCCGCGTGTCTGGGGCTTGTGTGGGTTTCTCTGTGGCCCCGGGGGTGGGAGCTGCTTCCAGGGTGGACCGAGAACCCCCAGCCCTGACAGTGGCTAAGCGTGTAAGATTTCCCTCCTTTCTTCCCGCTGTTCTTTATATGCCCTTTATCTGTTGTAAATGTCTTCTCACCTGCCTTTAGGTATCTTTTGATGAGTAGGTATTCTTAATAGAACATTTACGTTTTCATTAGATGCTTTTTTGGGATCTTAAGAAATCTTTACAGAGTCCTGAATTCATTGTTCCTGTTTCTTTCTTCTGAGACAAGGTCTGTGCTGCCCAGGCTGGAGTGCAGTGATGTGTGCAGCCTCAAACTCCTGGGCTCAGATGATTCTCTTGCCTTAGCCTCTTGAGTAGCTGAGACAGTGTGAACCATCATTCCTAATTCTTAAAAAAAATTTTTGTGGAAATGGGATCTCATTATGTTGCCCAGACTGGTCTCAAACTGGCCACATGTGATCCACCGTGCTGGGATTATAGGTGTGAGCCACTGCATCTGGCCTCTTGGGGTTTGATTGAGATTGTTTTGATTCCCTAAATGAGTTTTCAGGAGAATTGACACTGTTACAGTATCACTTATTTGCACCGATGAATGTGATATTTTAATTTAGGTCTTCAACATCCTTTGGTACCTTACATTCTCTGTAGAGTTCTGGTACCATTTTTAAAGAATTATTCTTTGATGTGTCTTACTGGGTATTTTAAAATTTCATTTTCTAACTTGTTATAGATGAAGTTTCTTTTCTGGGGGAAATTTTATATACAGCAATTTTTTAAAAAATGAAGTTACATAAACAAGTTACCAAAAATGTTAGAAAACAACAGAAAGGAAATCAAAATCCATAGCCTTATCACTCCCCACAATGTAGCCTAAGTCGTATTTTAATTTCTGAGACAGGGTCTCACTCTGTCCCCCAGGTTGGAGTGCAGTGGGGCGATCTCAGCTCACTGCAACCTCTACCTCCTGGGCTCATGCGGTCCACCTGCCTTGGCCTCCCGAAGTGCTAGGATTACAAGTGTGGGCCACCATCCCCAGCCAGGGTTTGTTTTGTTCTTTAGTACATGTCTAGTTTTTTTTTTTTTGTCATTTTAGAACCTTACCTTTAAAAATTATACTGGCGGTGAGGGAGATGCATTGTCCTGGCCGTGGCACTGCTGGGGGGAAAGCTGACTTGGCTTATGGCTGTCAGTGCTGAGTAAGCATCTTCCCACAGCAGCGCCAGTTTGCAGAATGCCTGCGCCTCTGCTGGAGCAGCTCAGTGAGGCAGACACCATGTCACTTTAACTAGTTTTGGTGCCAAACTAGTTTTTTAAGATAGCTGCAGAAGTGCTCGTTTCTGTCTATTGCCAAAGGACTTCACTTTTGGAGACAGGGTCTTGCTCTGTCACCTAGGGTGGAGTGCACCAGTGGCGCCATCAGAGCTCACTGCAGCCTCGGCCTCCCAAAGTGCTGGGATTACAGGTGAGAGCCACTGTGCCCAGCCAGGTTCACTTTTATTTGTTTTAAAATTTGGTGTTCTGTCCACATAGTTCAGAATTCAAAACTGTTTACGGGGGAAAATTTCCTCCTACCTGTGTCCCCAGTGCAGCCAGCATTAGGGCTTTTGTATTTCTGCAGAGATGATGTGCTCTTGTGAGCAGCTGCACCCTTGGATTTCCTGGGGGTAACCTGCTGTGCAGTGGGTCCTTGCCTTGCTTTTCTCCCGTAGGGTAACTAGGTGATCTCCGCATTAGCATGTTAAGAATGTCCTTTTTTCCAGCTACATAGACTAGAAATGTGAGGATGTGCATTTAAAGTGTTTCCTGGTTTAGGCCGGGTGCGGTGTCTCACACCTGTAATCCCAACATTTTGGGAGGCTTAGGGGGGGTGGATCCCTTGAGGTCAGGAGTTCGAGACCCTGGTCAACATGGCGAAACCCCGTCTCTACTAAAAATACAAAAACTAGCTTGGGGTGGTGGTGGGTGCCCGTAATCCCAGTTAATTGGGAGGCTGAGGCAGGAGAATCTCTTGAACCCGGGAGGCTGCAGTGAGCCAAGATCATGCAATTTCACTCTAGCCTGGGTGAAGGAGTGAGAGTCCATCTAAAAAAAGAAGTATTTAAAGGGCTACAGTTAGGAAGTGGAATAGCTGAGTCTCAGCACATCCACATGTGGTTTTCCTGACTTCAGTTGTCCTCTGGAGAGGTTGTACAAATGTACAGTTCCCCAGAGCCCTCGGTTTTATCAGACTTCTCCTAAGTGAAAAATTATAATTTTCATGTTAAATACTACATGATGCTTTTTTGGCTTTTGGGTTTCCCCTTCTGAGATTATGAAGCATTTCTTCCCTAGAATTGTGCTTTTCATCTTTGATCCCTCTGGAATTTACTCTGGTCTAAATGGTTTTGTGCATGGCTTCCAGTTATCCCAGTGCTGCCGGACGGAGTGATCTGTCTCCTCCCTCTTCTGTGAAATACTGTCCTCATCAGACCAGTGTCCACCCTCCACCCTCGTTACGTGGAGTTGTTCGCCTTCCCCCTTTCCAGAGCTAAACTGTTTTATTTACTAGAGCCCTACAATATGTTTCAACATGTGGGACTTCCTCCCTTCTCTTTTATTATTCATGTAGGAACCAAGGCATGTCTTCACATAAGCTCCTTTTGTCCCTTTAGTGTATTTTGATCTTGGAACTTGGCTACCTTACAGCATTTTCTAATACTGACACTCCTGCTTCGCTTGGGTTTTCTGGGTATATAATCATATCATCTATGTACCTTTAAAAAACTAAATATTCTGATAATCCCAAAACATGAAGGGAGGGTTGCAGCACGTGGTCCTGAGCTGCTTTTTCTGGTGGGTTCTGTGTTGCAGGCATGCGCTCATCAAGAAGCTGAATCAGCTGCGGGCAAGCGAGCCTGGCCTGGCCCAGCTGCTGGTGGATCAGGTGAGTGCAGCAGCTCAGGATGACTGCACAGATCCGGGCTGCCAGCCCTGAGAGGCTACCTGCAGGCTGGAACAGCAGTTTCCTCCAAAATCCTGCCTTTTTTTTTTTTTTTTTTTTTGAGATGGAGTCTCGCTCTGTTGCCAGGCTGGAGTGCAGTGGCGCGATCTTGGCTCACTACAATCTCCGCCTCCCGGGTTCAAGCAATTCCCCTGCCTCAGCCTCCCAAGTAGCTGGGATTATAGGTGCATGCCACCATGCCTGGCTAATTGTTTTGTATTTTAGTAGAGACGGGGTTTCACCATGTTGTCTCCTGACCTCGTGAGCCACCGTGCCCAGCCAAATTCTGCTTTAAAAAGGGAAAAATGGCCAGGTGTGGTGGCTCACGCCTGTAATCCCAGCACTTTGGGAAGCGGGTGGATCACTTGAGGTTGCAGTGAGCCAAGATTGTGCCTCTGCACTCCAGCCTGGGCAACAGTGAGACTGTCTCAAAAAAAAAAAAAAAAAAGATGCCCCACGGCCCTCATAATGGGTTTCTTCTCTTGCCTTTCAGATATACGAGAACGCCATGATTGCCGCTGGGCTTGTTGACGACCCTAGGGCCATGGTGGGCCGCTTGAATGAGCTGCTTGTCAAGGCCCTGGAGCGACACTGACAGCCAGGGGCCAGAAGGACTGACACCACAGATGACAGCCCCGCCGCCTTGAGCTTTATTTACCTAAATTAAAAGGTATTTCTTAACCTGCGTGTTGGGCTGTTTGTCTGGCTCCTGCGGCAGGATGGGTCCTCTCCTCCTGCAGTTCAGCTGGCGTGGGGAAGGCTGCTCACTTCAGCGTCACCTCCACTGGATAGTGGTCACTGATGGCTTGGGCCTGCAGGCAAGTGGGCACAGGGTCTGGGCTGAGCCTAAGTTCCTGTGTCCCATCCCCATGTGACTGTGCAAGGGAGGACACGTACCAGTTGGTCACTCAGGCCATAGGCAGCCTGGAAGTTAAAGGGAAGAGCTGAGTCGGGAACAACGGCGTCCTGGAGCAGCGTCCCTGCAACCACGATCCTGATGGGTGTTGGGAAGAGAGAGCAGGTTCCCCTGTCACCCATGGGCCTGGCTCAGGGCTCACAGGAACTAAACTAAGAGCCCTGGGACCTGACAGTGCAGGTCTGTGGGCGCCCAAAACTGCACACCCTGGCCTATGCCCCTCAAAGTGGAAACCACGTGACAGCCTAATGTGTCTGCCTCTCCTCTTATCCCCAAGCGTGCTTTTCCTAAATAACTAAAAATCGTGGCTCTTGTTATTCCGTTTCCTGAGTGGATCAACTGAAGTTCAGTTGGGTGAGTGTCCAAAGGCCTCGAGATTTCTGAAGCCGGACGTATGAGTCACGGCTGCTCTTTGCCCTAAGCGCGATACCCTGCTCACCTGTCGTAGGCGCAGTGCGTCGATGTAGCTGTGGTGTCAGCGGTGTCAGGGATCAGCCACTGGAAGGTGGGGCTCATCCGCAGGCGGATGGATGACCACTGGGAGGGTCTCACATAGCTGCAGCCCGCATTGAAGTCACCCATCAACATGACGTCCTACCAGGAAACGTTGCCTGTGGGCCCAGGGACAAGCGGAGGCCGCTGGTGCCCACTGCCCCGGGAGGGTCTCACCTCCAAGCCCCATTTCTCTTGGACATCCAGGTAGACGTCATAGAGAGCATCGATCTCAGCTACTGCGTCCTCCGGGGCCGCATGCAGGGGAACAATGGCAAACTCCCTGAACTCTGTGCAGCGGCCACTCCCTGGGGGCAGGTTCAGTCACCATGTCAGTTGGAACTGTGAATCATGACAGTCCCCCTGGGGGGTCATGTTCCAAATGAATGGAAAACCCAAGCCCCAGGGACTGGGAGGGCAGTGTGTGACACAGGCAGTCCAGGTTCCCTAGGAGGGGGTGGAGGCCGTAAGCACCAAGCTGTGCCCCACCCTGGCCCAGGCAGCACCCAGTGTGGCAGCACCCACCTGTGAATGGGCAGGAGAACCTGACGATGGCTGGCTCTCGGCTGAAGGTGTCGTTCCCACAGGGCTCGCAGCCGTCGTCGTAGTAGTAGCTGTCCACCACAGATACCTGGTCAGGCCTGCGGGAAGGCCGGGCAGGAGGAGGTGAGCCCAAGCTGGAAGCTGCCCCACTCCTGCTTCCCAGGAGGCAGGCGTTGCGTCACAGACAGGAGGGTGGGCGGGCAGGCCGCCACCTGCTCACCCCATGGGTCCGGGACCTCAGGAGGGTGTTCTGACTCCACCCTGGACCTGCCCTGCAGCCTCAGGTTCTTGCCCCATAGGACAAACTCCTTCCCTGCTCTGCTGGGGCCCTCCCAGGTGAAGGAGGAGCTTCCTGGCTTTCTGGACCACCCACCTGTACACGAACAGGTAGCGCTCCTTATAGCTGTTTCGTCCTAGTGGCTCACTGACCACATAGTGATAGGTGTCCGGTGCATCCCTGGATTGAGGAAACAAAAGGTCCCAGTGGGCAGGGGGCTTAGGGGACACCTCTGGCTGCCAACAGCAAGGCTGTGCCCAGGTCCCCACCCTTGGGGCCCAAGTGAAGTGAGACTGCCCTGGATGAGATGTCACCTCCCTAGGACCCTGCCACTGTCACCCACTGATTGAGGTTGTCCAGCAGCTTCCCCACGGCAGTCAGGTGGCTGTCTCTGACCTCCTGGACCAGGGCGATGTCGTAGCGGCTCAGGATCTGGGGGCAGGGCCACAGTGGTGCTGAGCAGGGCTGGTGCCACCTAGGGACCCCACACTGCCACAAAGGGAGCCACAGTTGATGCTTGTGGCAGTCACCCATGGGCCTGGCTCAGGGCTCACAGGAACTAAACTAAGAGCCCTGGGACCTGACAGTGCAGGTCTGTGGGCGCCCAAAACTGCACACCCTGGCCTATGCCCCTCAAAGTGGAAACCACGTGACAGCCTAATGTGTCTGCCTCTCCTCTTATCCCCAAACGTGCTTTTCCTAAATAACTAAAAATCGTGGCTCTTGTTATTCCGTTTCCTGAGTGGATCAACTGAAGTTCAGTTGGGTGAGTGTCCAAAGGCCTCGAGATTTCTGAAGCCGGACGTATGAGTCACGGCTGCTCTTTGCCCTAAGCGCGATACCCTGCTCACCTGTCGTAGGCGCAGTGCGTCGATGTAGCTGTGGTGTCAGCGGTGTCAGGGATCAGCCACTGGAAGGTGGGGCTCATCCGCAGGCGGATGGATGACCACTGGGAGGGTCTCACATAGCTGCAGCCCGCATTGAAGTCACCCATCAACATGACGTCCTACCAGGAAACGTTGCCTGTGGGCCCAGGGACAAGCGGAGGCCGCTGGTGCCCACTGCCCCGGGAGGGTCTCACCTCCAAGCCCCATTTCTCTTGGACATCCAGGTAGACGTCATAGAGAGCATCGATCTCAGCTACTGCGTCCTCCGGGGCCGCATGCAGGGGAACAATGGCAAACTCCCTGAACTCTGTGCAGCGGCCACTCCCTGGGGGCAGGTTCAGTCACCATGTCAGTTGGAACTGTGAATCATGACAGTCCCCCTGGGGGGTCATGTTCCAAATGAATGGAAAACCCAAGCCCCAGGGACTGGGAGGGCAGTGTGTGACACAGGCAGTCCAGGTTCCCTAGGAGGGGGTGGAGGCCGTAAGCACCAAGCTGTGCCCCACCCTGGCCCAGGCAGCACCCAGTGTGGCAGCACCCACCTGTGAATGGGCAGGAGAACCTGACGATGGCTGGCTCTCGGCTGAAGGTGTCGTTCCCACAGGGCTCGCAGCCGTCGTCGTAGTAGTAGCTGTCCACCACAGACACCTGGTCAGGCCTGCGGGAAGGCCGGGCAGGAGGAGGTGAGCCCAAGCTGGAAGCTGCCCCACTCCTGCTTCCCAGGAGGCAGGCGTTGCGTCACAGACAGGAGGGTGGGCGGGCAGGCCGCCACCTGCTCACCCCATGGGTCCGGGACCTCAGGAGGGTGTTCTGACTCCACCCTGGACCTGCCCTGCAGCCTCAGGTTCTTGCCCCATAGGACAAACTCCTTCCCTGCTCTGCTGGGGCCCTCCCAGGTGAAGGAGGAGCTTCCTGGCTTTCTGGACCACCCACCTGTACACGAACAGGTAGCGCTCCTTATAGCTGTTTCGTCCTAGTGGCTCACTGACCACATAGTGATAGGTGTCCGGTGCATCCCTGGATTGAGGAAACAAAAGGTCCCAGTGGGCAGGGGGCTTAGGGGACACCTCTGGCTGCCAACAGCAAGGCTGTGCCCAGGTCCCCACCCTTGGGGCCCAAGTGAAGTGAGACTGCCCTGGATGAGATGTCACCTCCCTAGGACCCTGCCACTGTCACCCACTGATTGAGGTTGTCCAGCAGCTTCCCCACGGCAGTCAGGTGGCTGTCTCTGACCTCCTGGACCAGGGCGATGTCGTAGCGGCTCAGGATCTGGGGGCAGGGCCACAGTGGTGCTGAGCAGGGCTGGTGCCACCTAGGGACCCCACACTGCCACAAAGGGAGCCACAGTTGATGCTTGTGGCATTGCTCGGTTTAGCTGCAGCCTCATGTTTCTGCCTGGGCTCCTGCTGCCAGCCAGGGACAGCACAGCAGGGACGAGGACCTTGGTCCGCAGCTAAGAGCCTGTTCCACCGGGCTGGGGGCAGAGGCGCTCAGTACCCCACACCCGACACTCTGTGGCCCCACAGGGCTGGCACCGCCCACCAGCCCCAGACTCCAGAGCCCCTCTGCTTCTGGGGAGAGGCTGCCCTGGCCTCACCTGCACAATGTAGCTGACGAGGGTGGCATTGGACATCTTGGTCTCCCCAAATGTCTGGATGTTGAAGGCTGCGATCTTCAGGGACACGCCCCCCTGCAGTAGGGCCAGCAGTGCCAGCAGAGCCCCCAGCAGCCTCGTGCCCCTCATCCTGGGAGAGCACAGGGCGCAGAGACATAACAGAAGTGAGACATCATCCCTGCCACAGCACTCCAGCCTCCAGGGGCCCAGCTGGCAGGGGCTGGTGCAGCTGAAGGTCGGGGGACGTGGGCAGGGGAAACCCCCGCAAGCCTTTCCTACAACGTCCAGAAACCCAAACAGCTGACACCACGTGGAGGACCCCGAGTCACTCTCCCATCCACCAGAAAACCTGCCCGGGAGGGACGCTGGAGCCTCCTCCTCACTCTCCGCTGCAGGACAAGACGCTAAGCCTCCCTCCCTGCTCCGAACTGGCCAGTCACCCGGAGGCACTCCACCTGGTGCTCACCTGAGATGATGGGGATGTCCTCAGAGATGATGAGAAGGCTATCAAGAATCTGGAATATCCTTTGATGTCAATTTTCTCCTTTTGCTGCTTTAAGAAAAAAAGTAGTTTATGAAGAGAGGTCTCTGAAGAAGCACTTCAAGGCCCTGGCAGTGCTGCTGGGTTCCAGATCCTGCACAGGCAGTGTGTCCGGGAGTTTTAAAGGTTCAGGCAGCTGTGACCTTCCCTGGGGCAAATGTCACCTGAGGGTGCAGAAAACAATGGCTCTGTGTGGCTTTCCGCATAGGTGGGTTGCTGGCATGTGTTTATTTCTGCAAGCACAGGTTTCTTGCTGCTATAAAAACTGCATCTGATAATCATGTTTGTACTTGGTTTTAAAATATCTGATAACAAGGCCAAAGGTTCCTGTCCTGTGTCCCTTGCACGTGCAGTGGCCCCCATTTTCCAGGATAGGGCAGGGATGGGCCAGGTATGTGCAGGAGGGTGGGGCTGGGCTCCAGTCTCCCTGTCTGTTGTCTGGGGGCCCCCAAGGACACCTTGGACTAAGAGGCCAAAGCCACATCCAAGGTTGCAAATGGAGCCCCCTGGTGGCTGAACAGCCATGACTGCTCTGTGGCCCAGGACACGCCTGCCTTCCGGATTCATCGCCATCAGGTGCAGGCAACCCTGCAGGAGGCTGAGGAGCTTGGAACAAGCAGCGGCGGGGGCCTGCAGCACCAGCGCCATGGGGCCAGGACAGGTGGGGGCTGCAAGGCCCACCCCAATTGCCAGCCAGGCAGTGGGGAGCCTTCTTGAAGTGGACAATAGGCTCTGTGTTTGGGCCCAGCGGATCCTGAGTGACCAGATCACAAGGGCAGGGCAGCAGCTAAAGGCCAGGCCTCAGGTCTAGTCATTTCTTGTTTTTGTTTTGGGTTTTTGTTGTTTTTGAGACAGGGTCTTGCACTGTGTTGCCAAGGCTGGAGTGCAGTGGCACAATCATGGCTCATTATAGCCTTGACCTCCAGGGCTCAGATAATCCTCCCTCCTCAGCCTCCTGAGTAGCTAAGACTATGGGTGTGCCACTGTGCCTGGCTAATTTTTAAATTTTTTTGGTAGAGTCTTGCTGTGTTGTCCAGACTGGTCTTGAATTCCTGGCTTCAAGCAATCCTCCCACGTAGCTGGGACTATAGGTGCATGCCACCAAGCCCAGCTATTGGTTTTTCTTTTTTTTTTTTTTTTTTAAGGCAGAGTTTTCAGGCGAAGTGTTGTCCAGGCTGGAGTGTGGTGACGCTATCTGGCTCACTGCAACCTCTGCCTCCCGGGTTCAAGCGATTCTCCTACCTCAATCTCCTGGGTAGCTGGGATTACAGGCACACACCACCACACCTGGCTAATTTTTGAATTTTTAGTAGAGACGGGGGTTTCACCATATTGGTCACACTGGCCTCAAACTCATGACCTTGTCATCCGCCTGCCTCGGCCTCCCAAAGTGCTGGGATTACAGCACCCAGCCTATTTTTTAAAGTTTCTCGTAGAGACAAGGTCTCCAACTCCTGAGCTCAAGCAATCTTCCCGCAAATGCTGGGATTACAAGTGTGAGCCACTGCACCCGGCCAGGTCCACTCATTTCTTGGAATCTTTTTGACTTTCCATTTGTATTTATCTCCTGAGACTGCTGTAACCACCACAAGTTTGGTTGCTTAAAATAATAGAAATGGATCCTCTCACAGTTCTGGAGACTGGACGTCTGCAGTCAGGGTGTCAGCAGGACCCTGCTCCTCCTGGGGGCCCTGCAGGGACGCTCCTTGCCCTCCAGTTTCTGCAGGCTGCCAGCAATCCTTGGCCTTCCTTGGCTGTGGCTGCATCACCCCAGTTGCTGCCTTGTCTTCTGATGTGTGTGCCTGCATTTGGGGTCCTCCCAGAGAGCAGGGATGATGTCCTTATCTCACCAGCCTTTACTCACATCTGCATCCTTTTTTGCTACAAAAATCAACATTCAGAGGTTCCAGGGCGAGGGCACAGCTATCTTTTGAGCCACCCCTGGGTCTTGCCCCCTTGGAAGGGGTGTGCTAGCCCTCCAAGGACAGCCCTGCACATAGTATCTGTGGTCTTCCTGGGGGAGGAGGGCCTGGAGGGCTTGGCAGAAGTCCAGGCGAGATTCAGGTGTGAGAACTGCAGGAAATGAATACAAATGGGGTCTGCAGGAAGCCTCAAGGGCCAGAGTCAGCAGGGGCCAAGGTCAAAGGTCAGGAAAGTGCTAGGTCTGGCCAGCTGGCCATGAAGCAGAAGGTGGGCCCAGTGGGGACTAGAAATAGGAAAGTAAACCACCCTCACCAAGACTGACGCCCCATTCCATAAAGACACGCCGACAGACACCTCTGGCTGGCAGTGCCAGTGCACTCATTTGTCCCTCCTATTGAGACGGCATCTACCAGATGGAAACACCGCCACTCCTCAGGCTGCCAGAGGCCCCGTTGCAGGCTTTTCCAAAGGTTTCAGCGATGGTTCTTCCCTGTTTTCCATCTCTGAGTCTAGGACAGCCTCCAGCTGTCAAAATCCAGTCCCCAAGCAAGGCCACCAGAGGATTTGGTGTAGGAATTAGTCCTCTGCCTTTGGTGTTTGCCTTTCCTGGACACACATCTCACAACGACCCACCACGGGGAAGGCAGTAAGGCTAGAGGGCGACCACCGTCCTCCACCAAGAAGCTGCCTGGTGCAGCTTCCAGCGGGGCACAGGGACACCAATTATAGCTCACAGAGCAAGTGCCCAGCGCCCCACATGCACTCAGCACGTGGGACAAGGGTTCCCCTCTGGTCTGTCATCCCCTCCTGGCTCTTGACCAAATGCTGCCCCATCTGCTTTCAGGTGCTCCCAGGCAGTACCCCTGCTTCCTCTACCTGCCAGAAGGCAGGCTGGAACTTGGGCCTCGCTGTACAAATGGCGAGCACTGCCTGCCATGTGGCTGCCCTCAGGATGGGCTTTGGTGACGGCAGCACAGCCCTGGAGGAGCCTGGTCTGACGTGGGGCCTGTCTGGGATCACTGCTGGGCCTTCAACCATCTGGAGCCTCCATGTCTTCCTCTGTCAGATGGAGTGACGTTATTCCCAGAAGAATCATTTCACCTCCTCAGAAGCCATCCTGCCGCTGTGGCCTGTGGAGTCTCCAGCACTCTCACTTCTCCCTTGTGCATCTCTTTTCTGTCTGTGTCACTCAATGCTGCCATGTAACAGCCACCTGAACACTCAGTGTGTACACACGCATTTCTCTCACGCTGGCAGGTCAGCGGGGATGGCTGCTGCCTGGGCCTCGTCCTGGGACTGAGCTGGAGGGACTGCAGCTCCCTGGGCACCCCCTTCCCACAGCATGGAAGCTGGAGGCTCCCAGAGCACATGCAGGACACGCGCCGCCCTAAGGCTGAGGTGGACCCGGCTGCTGTTGCTTCTGCCCACATTCCATGGGCGCTGTCGAGCTGCAGGTCCAAGCCCCACATCGGGACTGAGTGGGGTACACTCTCCCCATGCTGGGCCCCACTCTGGAGACAGGCCTGGGGAATGCCCAAGGAGGAAGCCCAGCGTCTCTGGGATTTTCACATGCACAGAGAATGGGTGCTGTCAGCCAAGGGCGACGACGAGAAAAGCTGACCGCCTTCTCAGATCAGGATGAGCTGTTTTCACCTCAACCCCGAGGATCTGCAGCCTTCTCAGGTTAAATTAAACCTGTCCCAGACACAGGAAGGGAAAAGAGCACATAACAACAGTTATCTTGACATCTAAGCCAGGTCACATGCTCTGATTTGGCTGAAATTACAGGATAAAGGAAAAAATCCTACAGGCACCATGGCTGGAAACAAATGGCCTCAAAGGAATACCGATGGCGGTGGCTTTGTGCAACCACAGCCGGTGCTGTGTGACCCAGCGACGTGCAGGCCAGGGAGGGTACCTTGCTACCGATCAAGAGCGAAAGAGGGAAGGACGCAGAGCTGTGGTTTCCAGTCTACACGGAGGCGCCCCCGTGAACTCACAGGGCACCATCAGATCCTCCTTAATGTTGAAAGAAGCAGTGATGCTCTGCTCTGCTCAGGGCCGTTCATGGTCTCAACGTTAACATTACCTTGCTTTGTAGGGTGTCTTCCCCATCTCTGCCAGGCTGGGTTGTGGCAGTTACTGAACAAGCAATTACTGTGAAGGTCGATGAAAAACGAGGCAATGAGGGTGGCAGTGTTCTATCAGATTCCAAGTTGAAGAGGTGCTCGACAGGCACACACATCCCATGACTAAACAAATAAGATGAACATTTTTCCTTATGTATTACTTTTCTAGACATCCACTATAAGCCAGGACACAAATACTTATTAGTGGGGTTTACTTATTTAATAAACGGAACTGTGAGGGATTTTTCTTTTTTTTTTTTAAATGACCATATAATCTGGACTTACTAACTTTAGGTCACAATAAGTTAAAAGCTAGAAAAGGGTCTCATATTACAGGAATTCAAAAACTGACCATATAATAAATGATGAAGAAAACTGACAATAGAACAGGACAATGTTCGAATAGCTCAATGGGGCCAAAAGATCAGCGTATATCCTGCATCATCTTTCATGCAATGTCTCAGCTTTTTTCCCCCAAATATAAAGGCAGATTAATACAAATTAGCCTTATATAGAATATTCATTTACGTTTCCTTCTGATATTGATATCTGAATGGAAAATGTATGAATAACTCATGGTTTCTACTGAAGTTTAAGAGTCCACCAGATGATGCTCGGATTTACACGATGCTAGAATAAGACACTACTGGGTGATGACTGCAAAGTATGAGCTGCAGATAAAATCTAAAAGGACATACATAATAACAAATATGTTATAATTTAAAAGACATATAGTAAATATAAATGAATTAACTCACACGACCTACTTACAAACAAAACTAGAATAAACACAACTTGTAGGAACCAACTCCAGTTGATTTTACCACTTAACAGTAGCAAGTTCTCAGGTGGGTCGTTTTATTTAAGGATGACTTGAAATTTTACAAGGCCACCTTAGCTCCCACATACGAAAACTATTGAAGAATTTTTTCTTATCAACTAGAAGTTGGGGAAAACACACTGAGATATACAATGATGTAGCTTCTCACACACTTGAAGGCCCATATCATGCCTACATTTCTACTGATTTAACTTAAGAAGCGCCTTGCCCTGAGAGATTCTTTATCCCACAACACTGTACTCAGATGTGGCAGAGAGTCCCAGGACACTACCCAGGCCACAAGATAAAAATCACAACCTGTCTCCTATCTGGCACCACTGTCAGGGATTTCTTTTGGCCGACTATTAAAATAATTACTGAACCTTAATCAAGAGTGCTCTGAACTGAGAAAGTGTGAAGCTCTGATCTGATCTAATGGGTATGCCCGAGTTAGATTTCCTACTTTACCGAATATAACTTCTTTCCTAGCCTTCATCATTCACCACTGCTTCAACATTCTGTCACAAAGAAATTCTCAGTTCTACAAATTGCTACTGAAAAGAATAATTGCAAAGGATTAAACATACCACCGTGTTTCAATACGTAAGTTCATGTTGGCATAAAGCCACCTGAGGGGGACGCTAGGAAGTCAACTTCTTATTCTGCAAAAAGGCAAAGTCAAAGGATCAAGGCGGTATTCTGCCTTTCCCATGAAAGAGGACTGCCCAGTAACCCATAGTTCAAGAAGGCTCTCTTTAGATAGGTGGATTCCAGCTAATACACGAAGAAGGAATGCTAGACTTGAAAGTCACCATTTTGCAGTCCCTAACCTTAGCCCTGATGTAGTGGCTGCTAACATCACAAAAGACAGCCTCTGTCCCTTCTAATCCAAGACCACACACAGCAGCACTTAGCTGAGTTCTTGCCAAAACAATCTTGAATCTGATCAAACCTCTAGATCTAAATGACAACTTAAAGCAAATACAAGGACAGAGGCTCATGTTCAACAGTACCATGGGGACACAGTACGACTCAGACTGGGAAATCGTAGATGGCAAAGGACAGGCTCCTCATAGATTTCAAAATGAAAAGAAAGAGAGGCAGAACTCACAGATTAAAAAAAGTTCACATTTTGAGATGGATGATAAATGATAATAAAACTTGAGATATATCAATAAATGTATGGACCTTAGATCCTACAAAACATCCAATCTTTTATTCATGCAAACAGACATTTGTGTAACAAATCATGTAAGAGGCAATCAGGGAAAGCAGAACGCTGACCCGTAACTGGGAAGTATTAATAGTAAACTCTTAAGTTTGTAATGGCTCTTATTGGTGTTTATGTTTTGTTTTTAAATAAATTATTTTAGGAACAGGGTCTCACTACATTGTCTAGGCTGGGATGCAGTGGCTTTTCTTTTTTCTTTTTTTGAGACGGAGTCTTGCTCTGTCCCCCAGGCTGGAGTGCAGTGGTGCAATCTCGGCTCTGCACTGTAGCCTGCCTCTGGGGTTC